GAGCGTGGGTGCTCCTGGCCGCCCAATGTCGTTTAGAGACTCTTTAGTTAACGCGGCTAGCTTCGCAACTCCGGTCCAGCGAGCTGAAGATGACCGTCGATGAGGAGTCTCCTGAGGCCCGTAAAATCAAGTGAGCCAAACGAGCAAGCGCTCATTTCCCCCTAATCCCCCAATGGTCCCCTCTTACGCTGTCCGACTGAACCCCTCTATTAACCACGTTTTTACCCAAATTTCTCCAACTCCCTTCCCTCCCCCATTCGCCCCTAGCCACCTTCGGGGCGTGGGGGAGGGGGTGTCTCCGAATCCCGAGGCTTCCCGTCCTGAGGTGTTTTCAATGCGCGCCGTTTTTCCCCGGTGGCACTCCGAGCAGTCCGAGTCGCCACTCGCCTTTTTGTCGTGATGTTTTATTCGCTGAGAACGACGCGAGGAGCTACTCTAGTCGTAGAATTTTATTGTCGGAAGCTCTAGACTGCGACTGTTTTTCGTGTTCCGCTTCGCAGTGCTGATTCTCTAGCCGAACAACTCTCTCCCATCTCCTATATATTAAAGGAATCTCTATTCGGGAGGAAAACAGGGATGACGATTTCCTCTCGGAGCTGGGAGCTTTTTGAAGAGTAGGTACAGCCATCGAATATCCGATCCGTCGACGTGACTCGAGTCTAGCATCGAATCGTCTTTGAGAATGACGATTTTTTTTTAACGATTTGCTCCGAAGTCAGGATCACTGTCCCAACAGCTCAAGCGTCGGAACATTCGATGTCCGATCCAGGAGCATCACAGGGATCAGAGGCTGATTCGTTTCTTCGAGAAATCTGAGAGATCTGCGGAGGAGATCCATTTGCCAATCCATCTTCGTTCTTGTTGAGTTCAATGGAGGAGACGTCGAAGATGAAAAATTGGACTCGGACTCTTGGCTAAGGGTGAATCGGTCGATCACTCTGAACTCGAGGTGCAGCTTCCAAGTTCAGGAAAAGCATCCGTGCTACCAGCTTGCCAGGTTCCTTTCTGATACAATGCTCTCACAGTCAGAACCGTGGGTCGATGCAATTGAGAGCGGAATGTATTTGAGGAATTGAAGGAACTAGTCATTGTGAGGAATCTTCCAATCGGATCCGATTTTCGGAATAGCGCGAATACGCCACGAGGAGTGACACGCTCCTTGTTAGGAGCAGGGCTCTGACTCCCTGGCGGTGCTTCTGCGTGCCCTCTCGAGCCATATTAGTCTGGATAGCCGCCTGCAGCACTCTCTCAAAGTCCGAAACTTCAAGGGTCGATCTCCAGCCCTCGGAGGAGTTTAGGTCCAGACTGTAAAGTGGCCGCGTCTTCGGAACATTTTGCAGCGCCTCTCGTCTGAGCGAACATCACATTATGTATTAGAGGAGATCTTTATGTCGTACATCGAAAGAAAGACAAATTGAGGGCTGCCGTCGTTCGCTCAACAGTCGCAGATAGCTAAGTTTCCCGGAGTCTTCAACACGAACAAACGCGAGAACGACTCTCGGAGAGCCACCTGGGAGCCATCGTGACGTTACACAGAGTCGCAAAGGCCGCGTCGAGTTTTGCAACCGACCGGATCGAAGTTTCGAACGTTCGTCAACCGTCCAACGAGCAATCGAATGAATTTCAGGCACCAAGCCCCGTGAGAGAGAAAAAAGAGAGATACGACCGTGGGCAGAGAGAATTCACTCATGGAACAAGCGCCAGAAACGGGACGAGCTCGACAGTGAGCTGTGAAGTGAATTTGAGAACTGCAGGCTTTGTGTTCTGCGGCATCGTGTAGCGTGTGCCCGCATCGCGGTCCTGGTCTTTCAACTCTTCCTGTGATTGACAACGACGCTCGTGAAGTTGGTGGTGGTTGTAGCGGCTCGACTCCGGCCTCCCCAACCCTCAGTTGAATCTAGAAACGCGACTTTCCGATCTACCGCGAACCGGTCAGTCGCGCAAGCAAGTCAGCCAACAAGGCAGAGAAAATCGTCATCAATCTTGAATTCCCGGACTATGACCGCGTCCATCAAGAAGGTCCCGACCGTAAATAATATAGCGCGCTCCCCCTTGTTCTCATTGTCGGTGTCTTCTCATGGAATCTGGTTCGCAGCGGAAATTTTCAAGCTCTCGGCTTCTGAGCACGGATAGGACCCATCCTTCCTTATCCCATGCGGACGTCTCAGCTCGCGAGCCTCCGAAACACGAATCACCGTGACAATGCTCAAATGTGTCTTCCTCGGCGGAGTGCTCTGCGTCGAAGCGTTTCAGATTTCACGACGTCTAGAAAATAGCAACAACCGATTCCGGCGAGATCTCTTTGCATTCCTGTGGCGGTGAGTATATCGGGGATCGGATCATCCTCGACAATCAGCGGCAGGCGGACAACAAAGACGATAATTATAGCGAGGTCAAATTTGCCGACCTGCTCCTCGATGTACCGTGACCGTGAGAGTGACGATTGCCTCGCCGGCTCCTTCGCGATGCTCGACGAGGAACAAATAACAAGGAACCTCAAACGCCCTCCGATTCGGGGGCAGGAGGCTGTTACCGACGAACAGATGCTAACAGGAACCTGTTTCTCAGAAACTTCCCATCGAGCGAATCGAGAAGCGATATCTCCCGAACATAAGTGCTCGAGCCGGTCGTTTGAGGGAACCCAATGGTAAGATTATATTCGATGGGAGGTGCTACGAGGGAGGACTCGCCGCCAAATTTGATTACGGCACGGCAGGGGTTCCGCCATAAACAGGCCAGTGCGAAACTCATGATCGTCTGCTTTGACACGGCGGGCCATATTGCAGCTCTCGCAAACCTGAGACATTATTGTGAATGGGGACCGACTGCACAAGCGGCGCGGCGTTTGTCTCGAGGCGTTCGCTAATGACGCCGCTAAATTCCGATGAATTGTCAAAACGGCCGCCGCCACCGTCGGAACGATCGCTGCGATAAGATAATATATGTATCGGAATTGTTCGCGAGAATTTATACGTTTGTAAGGGCGCGCGACGGCGGTCTGCCCGACGACGATGCTGAGTGACTGGATGATAGCCTCTGATAGCTGGGTTTATATTTTAATTTTCGGCTAATTGTTGCCATCCACTTCACCGCCGCGACTGATGTTGCTCAACGGATAGATCCAATAAATTGGTCGGTCTAATTACGGCTGCCACCGCGGTAGAGAATGACGTCGACGGTTAGACGATCATCGGACCGCTGCCGGCGAGGTCCGGGATGGACAGAAACGAGGACATATTCCACGCGGAGGGAGGGGACGCACATTTTTCGATCCCACGATCCTTCAGAAAGCTTCCCATGATTTGATCAGGCTGATTGAAAATCCCTCTATCTGTTCCAGAAGATCCTCAGCAGCGACCACGCGATCGCCCTCTCATTCGCGACCTTGAGAACGAGTGGTAACAGGGTTCGATTGATGTGATCGCGTTCTTTTCTGAGAATTCCAAACAAAATCTTGAGAACCGACGATCTTCATTCTCCGAGATTCTGACCTTAATTTGGAAGCAGTCAATCCTTGCGTGAATCCTGTAGGTCTATTGGTTCCAGCCTGACTTGTGATGATGTAATGGTGTTAAGAGGAGATCGCGACGGCTCAATGATACCTGCTCGAGAATCGGGAAGTGTTTCCACGGCAGAGCTTCATTTCCGGGCAGCCGGAATCCGAAGTTCTGAGAGTGCTTCCCAGCGCCAGGTGCATTATGCGTGTCGTCTATGTTTGCTTGCCATTAGATCCCTTGTGACCGATGCGGAAGAGAGCCATTCGCTATCGATCATCATCAGTTAAGCACTGGCGTCACCAATGCCAACCAGAAACACGTAACTTTCGACATCACCACGGCCTTATTTAGGAATCTGAAAGTTTGTGAGACCGGGGAAGAACACTGAAATCTGATATGTATCCTTGCGCAGCTTTGTGGCCGCATCTCGGAGTCGGATCGGATACCTTCACTAATTGGGGTATCATAATCGCCGCATCGACTTCCCAAAAACTTTCTTCCCGGAATATAGCAGACACCGGGGAAGAAGTGCTTCGCTCCGGTCGACCACACGATCACGGAGGAGCCATTCACGCACGACCTCCATCTATCAACGCTGGCGAGCCGCTCACATTCGATAATTGTGATTGGTGTGCTCTGGAAGTAGGACACCTACTGTATCACAACTCGAGTGACAACACGTTGTGATCGATGTTTCATATTATTTAGGTATGTTTATTCATCTCTATACTCATTCTTCATGTGTGTCTTAAATAAATAATGATGCTGGAGACCATGATGGGTACCTTCGGAACATTCGGGGAAATGGGTTCCCTAGCCCAACCTGCCCGGTTCGTCCGAATCGAATCGAGCATTACCACGATTGCTTATGAAATGGTACAATTCTCAGCGAACGTACATAGAACAAGTTCGCGCGGATCTCGTCCACCACCATCTCCATCACGATGAGTTGATTCTCTCATCTCCATAGATATATTTTCCGTTTACGATCACTATATACTGCCAAGACCGTCTCCAGAGGTCATGACATCTTCATCCAGATAACTCCCGCCACCGTGATAAACTGCATCTCAGTCACTCACGAGTATTTCAACTCCCCCAGCCATCGCCCGTCCTCCCTCTCCCCATATCGGTAGGATTTCCGATTCAGCGTCAGCCTAAGTTTTGTGCTTTTTCTTTCGTGACGGACAGACGTACCATCTTATCGATCGTTTGAAATTGACGAGCAAAATTGAGTACATACAAGCGCTCCCGCTCGAGAGCAGATTCGGAGGCCCAAACGGCTGAAGTCGAAATCGCGAAGTCGGAGAGCTTCACGGACAAGGAACTCTAAATGTGTGTGAGAGAAGAATCTGTTCGGGAATTGTGGTCAGTTGATGAGGCTGCTTCGCCGGAACAGCTTCCCGGTGGACGAGTCGACAGACACTCCTGTGAGAGCCGACTCACAGAGACAATTCACTCTCGGCCAGGCCCGAGACGCGGGCCATGTGCGTAGCTATTGCGTCACTTCTGCTTGCTCCCTCTGTCTACACGATCATTTCCGCGGTCGAGAGCGTCGACCTCATGGTCATCATCTCCCATATCGTCTTCGTCTTCGATATCGTCTTCATCATCGACTTCGTCCAAGTCGTGGCGATTGAGGAGATGATGATGATGATTGTGTCTTAGAAGGTTATTGTTGTTGATGCTGTTCGTTTTGCTTTTCAGTTTTTTCCCAATGACGTTTCTCGTCGGATGCGAATCGTAATCTCCCGTCGCCTCGGAATCACTGCAATCGACGACGTTAAGCTTCTCCTCGTCGTCTTCTCCAGTGATTTCCTCGGGCTCGGATTCGCGCGGGGATTGGCTGGCAGCACGTCGCAGAAGCTCGAAGGGATTAGGAACTCCGGTTAGGCCCACGGCGCCTCTATGGATAGCCGCTAGACTGAACAATGCTTGAGGAGTGAGTCCGGCGGGGGGAGGTGTAACGCTGTGAGGTCGTCTTTTCACCGACATGTCCTCGGGTTCTGGAGATTTCCGGGCAACGAGAGCCGCCGCCGAGGAGAGCAGGTTATCGATGCTGAAGGACGCAACACCGTGACGGGGCTTCAGGCCGTGCAATCCCTGTTGGGACACCAGACGGTGAATGCTCGCGGTGACGTCCACCGAGCTGTTGCTTCCCGTGTCGTGGCTGGTCGGAGATGTGAGAACGGGGCTCGGCTCCATTTGGAATTTGAGAAGAAGCTCGGCGACGTTGAAGCCCATCGATTCGAGAAGCGCGAACGTTTCTTGCCCCACGAGTTCGGAAGCCGATTTGACAGGCGAATGACTCCAGAGCTCGTGTAACGCCTGGTGGATCGCCTCCTGCAGCGACGTCAGATTCACGCCGGGCTTGAGGCGCGCTTGCTCGAGCCGTTTTGTCTGTCTCTCGAGTTGCTTGCGGAGTTTCTTCTCTTTCTTGTCTCTTTCACGACGCTCGATCTCCTCAGGAGGAATCGGATCTCCCGAGCAGGTCTGAGGGTGAGCATTGTGCGCAGGCCGACCAGGACCCTTCTTCGTATTTTCTTTCTTCCTCCACTTGGCTCTCCTATTCTGGAACCATACCTGAAAACGTCAAGCGAAGCGATTAAGTACGTGGTCGCAAATCCGTGAATAGCACATTGGCACTGTACGGTTTAGAGCGGTCTCGATCGATAATATCACTCTCGGGCCGTAAGGTCGCGATTCCGGTCATTCCGTGACCCTCTAGATGGAGATCCGCGGGATCACAGCTCCAACGTGAAACCGTGCGGACCTGTGACGAACACCTGCTCGCCGTCGATATCAAGACTGCTTAATCAAATGGGTCCGCGACTCCCGGATCAGGAATTGTGACAATTGTCTCGAATGTCGGATGGGACGATCTTCGAAGCCGAGAACGAAATTAAACCCATCGCTGTCGTCGAGACCGACGATGCAGACGGCGGCCATGACGTGAAACACCGAATTAGCTGAATGAGAAGTTGTACGGAGTGATCAGTGGTTGCGGGAGCACTTCGAGAATCAAAGCAAGACTCGAGTATTACCCTCCGAGCGGACCTACATCCTCCAGACGCTAATCGTTGACAGTTGTCTTGATTCAGACGTCAGACGTCTCGCTACGACGATGTGTCCGAACATAAGGCACAGATCGCATTTTAATACAGGGTTCGCTGTTTTCCGACAGCAAGCCAACGAACCAGCGAACGAGTCAGTCAGCATCAGGCAGTCCGGAGGCAGGTTGTTGAAGTAAACGATTCTGGAGACGACGACAGGGTCTACCCCTCCGTTCACGGCATCAAAGTCACGGAATGCTTCGACGTTGTCACCTCATCATTTCACAATGCCGCTTGTTTCTTTCAGTCGAACGAACGGTTGATGCTCGGAGCTCTTCATTCCCTGCCCTAATGTGATTGGGGCCGCTCTTCCCGAGTAGCTGACGACACGATTTCTGCCGTACGAGCAACTGCTGAGACCTCCTCTTGAATTTCGCTTCTATAACGAACCAGTCACGGAGTTGTGACACCAGTGAATTTCTTCCGCGGTTTATTTTATTGGATCGACCTTCCTCGGCTATGAGAGGGGTCAGAAACGGTCCGGGTTCCCATGCTCGAGGAACAAGGGAATTATTCCCTTCGCCGCCTTGAAGGTAGTAGAGGACCCATGCCCGGTCCCACTTGTTCAACTCCATCAGGTGACAACATCGAATAATTTTCCGAAATGAGCCGAGCGATGACGTTCTATGTTAGTGCTGACATTCAATAACAGCTCAGGTGATTCATCCGCTCATAGGACTTCAGATGGCACGCTCGCGCGTCCTGTCGCTCGATAGTTTATCCGTCGTGGATAGCACCCGCATGTTGCCCTACAATTCCACCACACAGATGAGAGGCTATCGAGCCGATGCGTAGCAACAAACTCTCACGATGATCGAGCGAATTACGAGAGAGAACCACAGGCCGTAGGGAAACAATCATCGATCTCTTCTGGAGGGGGGGGGGGAGTCTATATGGTGTTGAGGACATTGGTCTGTTTAAAACACAGTCGGGCCTCCACATATAGAAAACTTTTGATTCGAGCGAATTCCGCCGTCGAACACCCCCCTGATGCGACCCTGGATGTTTTCAGCAGAGCTCGTGCGAAGTTCCGAGCGTGAGACTTCTATGGTTGGAAATGAGAGCGAGAAGAGGCTTCGGAGCTCTTTTTGTTTCCTGCGACGAGCTCCGAGCGGGCGGTCGCGAGCCCGTAGTGAGCATCTCTCACTCGGGCATCGAGCGCTGTCGTAACAAAGTTGAGACGTCACGTTAACGTCAATAATGATCGGCTGACGCGGGGGGTGAGTTGAGTAGTGAGTAATTACATTTGCGGGGCTCATTCTTCAGCCTGCGTTCGGACAAGGAATTACAAAGCGAGCCTCAACGGCGCTCGGAAACAGCGGACAGCCTGCGCTCCCTTAGTTAAATTCGACGTCGGATCTGTTTGATTCGTCTCACTCTGCCTGTCTGGAGCGCGCGACTAAACTTGTTGCCCCTTTAGCGCAGAAAAGCGAACAAGATATTCAGTCTGCCTGCCTGCTCGCTCGCTAGCTGTCACTCAAGGCTCAAGCTGACGTGTTTAATAACACGCTGCTCCGTTCTGAGGAGGGCGTGTATGTAGTTGTTCATCTTTTTGTTGCCTGTTCGGCTGCTTTTTGCTTCTCGTACCCTTCGGGTTTTAGGCTTGACCGCTGGCTGAGATGATCTACAGAAAGCTGCTGTCATCTCTTTTACGTGAACGGAGCCACACGTGAACGGACGTCTCAATATCCTCCAGCGAAGACAAGCGCGCTCATTGATTGAAACACACAAGCTCTCAAGGCGCACTCGCGGATTGTACAGAGATGTCAGCCAGTAATTATTATCGGAGCAGCTCTCGTTAGCAACGCTCCGACAACGAAAGCATCACTCAAGGCATCGGTCGCTCAACAAGTCTCAAGCTCCAGGCTGGTCGGTTGCGTCTCATTTGCCCAACTTGAAAGCAACCTGAGAGGGATATTAGCCATCGAGGGAGACTTCGAAAATACTAAGGTAACAAATAATGAATCAATCGATCTTCCCGCTCAGATCGTCAACTTGTATTGGAATCCTCTGACTCTTTCATCTTCCCCAGACTCAATTCGCATGATACAGAAGGGAAACTTAGGGTCAGCGGATAGATGCTGTAGCATCCCTAATCAAGTGGGCAACTCGCTCTCAAGCGGAAGAACTCTCGTTGTCTCGGGTGCAGGCTTTGAACCGAAAAAATTCGTCATCTCACTCCCTCTTCAGGTTTTGTGGATCGCTCGCGTAGATCAGGATGGAATTCAATAGGGGCAGGATGTCAAGGACCAAGTCAGGGTTGCTTTAGCCTGGAGGAGATAGGATCGCTGCTGTGAGCGCTCGATCATCTAAATACATTCTCTTTTTTTAGACGTCGAATAAGAGACCTGAGCGGAACACCTGTCGGAATCATGTTCCACACGGAAATCCTGGCGAAATAATTTTCCCTCGGGACGCGTCGGAGCGTTGTTCATGGCAAAAGTCGATTTCCCCGCGAGCGATGATCGCAGAAGTTCGTTCGATGGGAACGGAGTCTACATCTGTGCTGACCACCGTGGTCGGAACTGCCTCCACGAAATACACTCGAAGCTTGTTGCTTTTTAATTTCGAGTGGAACCGAGCAGGAACATCGTGTGAGATGTCGATTTTGCCTCCGAGTAGTTTGGGCTCTGTTTGTGATTCAATCGAGAGAGAGAGAATGAGAGCGATGAGAGGAACTGTTGACTATCGGGGATGAGTAGGTACTGGCTGCCGCGGGGATATGAGCCCGCACCGGGCTCCGTACTGTGTCATCGTGCGCCTTCGAAATGTTGACGACTTTATGGCGTGAATAGCTGGAGAGAATTATCGACGGATGGACGGCCCGCTATCTCGGCTGCATCATCTCTCGAAGAGCAGTCTCATCTTCGTTTTTCGCTGACATGCTTGTCTCTAATCGGATCCTTCTAATCATTCGTTTATTCTTATCACGTCTCGCTACGCTAGCCCAACGACGACGGAGCTAATGATGGCTGTGCATTGTGAATTCAAGAGATCGTCAATCGAAATAAGGGAGGACAACGTGTCGTCACCCACCACATTGGAGCCCCCACGATTGGATTGGCTGAGAGACTTTCACGATTTGAGCACTCGTCACGGATCTAAACGATTCCGCTCGGAGCGAGAATGGATGAGACGAATTCTTCCGTCAAGATGTCAAGATAAACTTCTTCAAAAGATTTCTGAACCACAATATGCCTGGCCGGAACTTCCCTAAAAAGTCTCGTAGCCCTAAGGTAAAGTATCGACAGAACCGTATTTACCTGAACTCTAGATTCGGTTAGGTCGAGACGCATCGCCAACGCCTCCCTCATGAAAACGTCCGGGTAGTGGGAGGCTTCGAAAGCTTTTTCAAGCTCTTCCAGTTGCCAGCCATTGAAATTTGTGCGGGTACGTCGTCGCTTCGAGTCGGCATCGCCGTTATCTGCGGATGGAAAATAAAGACGAATTAATAGGAAACAACCTTCGACGAGCATTTTTTGTGAGGTGGCTCCCCCAGTCGCCCAAATGCCCCTTACCCTATGGAGTTAACGAGGAATAATTATCGCGAACGAGAGGGACCCGGCGTCGCTCGGGGTGGCCGGGTTGTGGTCGATAATAATCGGTAGGATTAGTTTGATATCTTAATACGATTACGCTCAGCCTTAGCTCGGCTTCTCTCTTGCGAGAGTTCCCGAGTGTCGAGCGAGCTCATCGATTGGTGGCACCGGCTATCCCGCATTTCGTGGGGGCGAGGCACTTATCCACGCAAACACTCGACAGAACGAATAGCGCTCTGTCCATGGAGAATGCGAATTCATTATTTTGACGAGTGAATTATACGCTCCCATAGCTCATCGATTTGGAGCGAAGTTCCAATTACCGGACTCACTCACGGGCTCCATTTCGAAGATTTCCCCGACCACCGGAAAGGAAGCTGAGGGTGCCAGAGATGAGTGTGCGAGCACGCTCGCCAGTCTCAACTTGTGGATAGACCTCATCGGTGAACATGGGAGACTTGCGATCGTTTCCCGGCAATAGCATGGAGTTCCATGTCGATCGTAATGCGACATGTCGAACCACATCGGAGTCACTTCCTGATGGAATAATTCTGACGGCGCAGATAGATTGGATGTGCGAGTCAAGTTCCGAGCAGAGACGAATATAAAATGATGCGTCACTCTCCCGACAGCAGATCGTCACGCTAATGAACGCATCAGAAATTGTATATGATGGATAACGCGTGGAATCATTATTCCCAATGATAAGGTTCTGCGCGATCCTTCCGTGCCAAGCTCCCAAACTCGAGCTTGCCCCCATCTTCAACGAGTCTTTTGTAGATTACCAGCCCCGGCTCGGTAGAGCATTCTGTCCGCGGCTATTGAGACCGTATCAAGCCGGAGAAGCAACATCGGCGAGCTGCGTGACGGGGTTTCCGTTACTCTTTGAGAAAGCGATCGCTGGTTCAATCTAAAGCTGAGCGCAAGGAGATCGCCGCAACCGACCGCATGCGAAATCACGCCCCGACTGAGAATGGTTCATCACTAATGACTCCAAGACCGCATTTCTCTTTCCTACTCTAAACTTTACGGTCGATGATTATCACCGTTGGGCACGCAATAGAGTGCGCTCCGAGAAGTTCAGGCTCTGCGAAGTGAAAACATAGTGGAGCTAACTACGCCACGCCGCTCAAGCGACAGAAATCGAAACTTGTTCCAACCCGATCCCAGAAAGACTTCACTTCCCACAATAGAACGAGATAACGAGCTCTATTCCCTCGTCGTCTTGGCTTCATTCGGAAACTCATTAGGCTGGATAATTGATATACAAAACAGTCTAAATTACTCTTGGCAACTCCTACCGGAGCGGGATAGACTTTCTTGATTGTTTCCGAAAGTCTTCCTCGAATCCCGTCTATTTGATCGGAATCGGAAATCGGAGAGCATTCAATGGTAAGGGGAGGAAGTACGATCGGGACTCATGGGAAACCATGGAACGCCTTCGTCGATCGATAGGACTGCGGCACAATCAGCAAGGACGACGCGACGGGAGCAGTGCGATACTGTCTCTCATCCAGGAAGGTATCGTCCACATGAGGACAGAGGAGCGATTTCAAAAACGCCCGCTCAGGGCCATCGATTGGGATGCCGCGCAACACGAGATGCCCGTGATCGGCGGTGGTGCTGATGCTGCTGCTCCTCTGTGCGGCGATGCGACTCCAAGACTCATCCATCGCCGTTTTTCTGTCGCCGTAACCGTAGCAGCAGCAGCGAAGGCACCGTCTGTGCTCTGCCTGTTGTACCCGCCTCGAGCGACGTTTAAGTCCCGCCCCGTGTTCGCTGCTGCGGCTGCTCCTGCCGCCGGGTCTGCGGTGTGTGTCGATGTGTGTCGATGTGTGTCGATGTGTGTGAGCGAGCTCAGCGTGTGTACGGATCTATGCGAGTAAGCCGGGTTGGTTTCTGTCGGTGTCTCTGGCGGTTACGGCCGCGCCACGACTGCCGACGGGATGGAGTGCCGGAAAAACTACTGCCAGTCGCGCTCTCCAAGTTCTCATGAGATATCGTCGTAGCAGGTATCGCACCGCATTTATTCGGTGAGGACCAAACGAAGCCGCGCGGTTCAACGGGATTTCCGTGAGTCGATCAAACTGCTCCCTCGGTGACATGCTTCGAAGCGCAAGAAAACCGTCAATTAATTGACAGCTCTTTCAGCCTTGAGGGGATAACTTTTCTCGTCTCTTCGTCGCCGTCTCCGCTGCTCAGGCGAAGTTTATGGTGTGAGGTTGAGCTCGAACGTGTTCAAACGGTATCGGGGCTCCAGAACTCGGTATAGAGCTCAGAGCGGATCGCTCCTTGTCGACGATGATCATGTCGATACAATGAGTATAATTCGATTCCGTGAGTCGTTTCGTGTTCGATCCGGCCTAGCAGAGCTCGACCGACTGGAGGCTCGACATCGTGTTGATCGTTCCCCGCTAATTATTATCATTCCGAAGGAAAGCATGATCACAATGTTGTTTTTCCGACAGGTCATCGGTTGGAAGTTGGACATGTTCCAGACCGGCCTCTTCTCTTCCAACACACCTCCGACGGCGACGTCAGTGGAAAACCTCAGAGGGTTGGTATGTCTGCGATTGCAGTTAACCGGTCGCGAATTTGAAGAGGAGCCGGACAACCAAAAGAATCGAAACAAGGACATACGATCCAGAGCTGCGTATCTTCCGAGTATAGACACAGAAAAATCATAAGCTCTCGGTCTATCGTGCGATGCGAGCTCATGGCGTCAGTGGAATTCCGAACAAGATTTCTCCGAAATGGTGAAATAAATCATCGAACCTCGCGTTCAGTGGAGGGTGCTCGATGTCTGTAGTTGTCTCCAATGAGAGAAACAAACACCAGCATACAAAGAGAGCTTTGGTGCGATTCTTGGTGAACGCGTCTCCCCGGAGAAGAAGACCGGCCGTTAGGTTTCAAGAACGTACCGGAATCGATTGACGGTCGAGGTTCGCTGTCGAGCCAGAGGACTTTTCCCAGTTTTACGCTCTTCTTTTCTTAAGCCATACAGGCGAACCAACTCATCTGGGTCTCGAATGATGCAACGCGCGCAGATTGGGGAGCATGAATATTTGCCTACGGGAGAAATCCGGACTTCCGAAGCTTCACTTCGAAGCGGCGCGTGGAGGAGCGGATATCTCGTATTGATGTTTCGCTGACAAGAGATCTTCTGAGAAATAGCAGCCAGGGGAGCAGAGCGGGGAATGGAGCTGACGTTCGAAAATCTCGTCGCTGCGAGACCCAGATCCCCAATGGTCCGACCCCATCGCTTGATTCTACAATCGCGATAGCGTCGGCGAACGAGGACGAAGGAGGTGAAAAGAGAAACATCGATTCGTTCTCGTGTTGTCTGTGAGTGAATTATTTACGTCCAGCTCCGCCGAGTCAATGCATTCATCTCGTTCTCGACCCAGCGGACGCTTTACAGATCAAGTGTGAGCGGCAGACCAGGGCCTCATACAAAGACAAGATTCGAGGCGAATTTCCTGTGTGGATTAGGACGTAAATTCGCGTATGCCCGGTTCCCGCAAACATTATTCCCTCCACTCCCGAACACAGAATTCATGAGGAGGGGAAACTGTTTTGGAAGAAAACTGGGGTTTGGACGCGACGTCGAACGAGTAGAGTGTTCGATCGATAATAATTGTGCCTCATCTTGTTTTTTGTTGTTTTACTCGACACAAATAGAAAGCAACCGATTTTCAATCAAATGGCCGATGCTGCATGAAGAACAAGATGCGGCGATTGATCAATCGTAATGGAGCAGACTGAGCTGAGCACGACGTCGTTGTCACTGAGGGCAGCGACTGCTTCCGAATTGATAATTCAAACTCCATCTAACTCTTGTTCGGCGGTTTTGTTCGCTGCCCTATCTCTATGCTGACTGAGCAGCAGCTTGTTTTTTTTGTCTATTTGCCCGTCGATTCGATGTTGATTCGATGTCGATTGAGGACTCGGCTCTCTCGTGGAGCCGCTACGGTAGAGGCTTCAATCAATTTGTGTCCTAGATGTTCGGACTGTCGATAGAGATTCCTGTTGATACCTCTTCGGTTGTGCACGATCTTCAAGAGCTCCTCTCCACTCGACATTGAGCATATGTGTACATCGAGCTGAATATTTGGTTTGCAATCAAGGCGTGATTTCGACCCGACTGGATTTACAGTCAATAGATCTCCCCAAAGTGTCCTCCTTGCTAATTGAGGACTCAGCGTTCTAGGGAAGACGATGGAACGGAATTCGATGGGGATCCCTCTTCGCGATACAAGCGATGAGAGGCTTCCCAGGGGCAACGCTTGTTGCTCATGAAAGGAACGGCTCTCTGAATAAAGGCAGGTTTATGACTCAATCGACGCTCGCGGATATAACATCGGGATTATCACTCTATCGACGTATTGGTTCTCAAAACTCGCCTCGGGATTTAATCCAGGGTTGACCACCGGACCAGATACCCATTTTTCATGCTTGAAAAAACGCGGGGTTCCACCGAACACCTCGCAAAATGAACTTGAATCCGCCTTCAACCAGAACATTCTGCGTGGAGTCCGAGAATGAAGACGACTTCTGGTCGAGTTTATTCTCCACCACAAAGCGTTTTCCTTGATAAGCTCTCATGCTAGCAGCGATTGACACGTCTCGTAGGTCTTCACGGAACATTTGTGTGGAGACTCTGTGAGAATATCGTGAACACGAACGATCACTTCATTTTCGTGAAAGGGTGATGCTGTGACAGCAGGTGATGCCGTCTGATTTTGGATCGAACACTCGTCGGAACATCTCCATCATCATCTTTCCGACGATTTTCTTCACCGACAAGCGAAACAACCTACCGGCTCAAAGTAAATAAAGTCATTGCCGTACGAGCTCACATACGTATATGGTGACTGGTTCGGCGACAGTAGCAAGCGCCGCGTCGGCCACCGTAATCAAATATGTCGCCTGGAGTCTTCTGTCGACGAACTGAATGAAGCTTTCGTTCTGAATATTTTTCTCCGCTCTTGCGTTCTTCCCGTTCACTCGAAGCTCGAGCGAAACGATCTTAGGTCACGAACATCGCCACCGGCAGCCGTGTGGCATCAGCGTGTCTCCACGTCGACACCTCCATCGGTTAGTTCCCGAAGGAGAGAGGATATCCTATGGACACCACAATGCAATGAAAGTAGCATCTCGACTCGCACGGATATTCCGTTTCTACATCCTGGGCAGTCCTTCCTCTGCCAGGGAGCGTCGAAAATTATCACAGAACTTGAGCCGGTTCGGTCTAGATCAGATCATGTGCATTGAGATCTCCGTAGGAAAACCCTCGCGTCTCTCCTCGATTCTATGACAGATATACGTTACGAAAAAGAAATCAGAACCCAGGTACCATGGAGAATGGGTCCGTGCGTCAAATGAGAGGCGGCAATCGAACGACAACTGACAGGTTGGCGACTTCTGAGAGTTTTTCGGGTAATTGAATCGCCTCCGCAAACCCTCAGGAGACGGGCATCACCCGACAGAAGTTCCGACTCCACGAATCAGCCTCCTCACAAACGTTTCAAAAATGATCCTAGTCCGGCCTCATCGAAGAAAATACCGGATACAGGAGTGCATGCAGTTTGCTTGGATGGCTAGCCAATTGACTGACTGACCGAAAGAGCGGCTGACTCGGCGACTGGCAGTCACCGAGCTCCCTCAAATGATAGACCGGCACGGCGTTCATTATTGATATCAGCCCGACTCTCTTCCGCGATTCCGCCGAGGGATTCTGTGTACAAGCTGTGGCGAAGACTATTAAAATAATTAAACCGCAATTTTCTGCTGGCTGCCGGTGTTTACTCTTGTCGTTGCGTCCCCCTGTTGTCGTTCGGCTGTTATGCTGCTACCGCTGCCGCCACCGCTGTAGCTACTGTATGTATTCGCTAGACGGATAGCAGCAACGCAGTGTGGATTTTACGGGAGACAAATTTATCATCCCCTGTCTACCTGGGGTTCTGCTTTGGCGGCCTCTGTCGGACGTACGCTCTGAACTGAAACTACTTAGAACTTCGACTTCGCGCCGCCGACATCGACGGACAACCGACACCCTAATTAGCTTCATGAACAAAAAAGGCCACCACTGCCGAGAGGTTTTCCGCTGCTTTCAGTGTTTCACCGCCCGTAGATAGCTTCAGTACGGAGTTTCTCTGACATACTCAATCCCCGCTTCAGCGAGTATGGTAAGTCACTTTGTTTAGCAGTTATCAATCGATGCGAAGTTCCTCCTATGGAACCATCGTCGAGCATAGGCTGTGGAGGAGCTCAAAAATACGCCTCCAATTGCGTATGGCATAGCTTGATGACCTCTTTTCGCGCACATGTCCAGCAAAGAGATTTCCCGATGGCTTACTGGAAATTCTTCCGCATAGGAATAGTTTCGGAAGGGAAACAGACCCTCAGATTCTAACCGAGCTCGCAGCGGTGGAGTATTTGCGATCAAGTCCGATAGTGAACTCACTCCCGTGATTTTCGCGAGCGATTTCCAGGGAGTGAGCAGCCTCTGCGAGGCCCCGGAATCCCGTGTCGATAGCGAACGCAGAGTACTCTGACCCAGGAGAAAATTATAACGCGCCACAGGGAACGAAGAGAAAACACGAATGCCTTCGACCGCACCAATTAAAGACGCATCAATCGGACTCTGAGTATTCCTGTCGACGAGGAGATAATCGTCCCGGATCAATCACGAGACCCTCGCATGGCGCTTGGATCATCACATCGCATCGAGCTCTCATCTGTCTGTTTGTCAGGCGGCTCCATGGCCGGTCGCTTGGCCGGCCGGCCGGCCTTCTCGCACAGCAATACCAGGCTCTCGTTTCTTGTTTCGCTCTCCTCGGCACCTGATTAAGACATCCGCGCGTTCACGAATAGCAGAAAGCGAATCGTTGTAATTTTTTCCTGATGGGTCCAATAGTCATGCGGGAGAGAGGGACGAATAGACTTTTCGTACCACAGAGACAACATTGCCGGTTGATCGAGTTGCCTCGCTCGTTCACTTCGACCGGTACTTCCCCGGAGCCTATTTGTCTGTTTACACTAAGGCCGTCACTATTCCAGTGTTGCGGTGAGCCGTGCCTTGTTCTCTTTTGCATCATCCATCAGAACGATATTGAAATGAATTTATTATTAAAAAGATCTCATTCGCGGTCGGCTCTATCCAATTGGGTCGATATTCGTGTCTCGTTTCGACATCCGTCCAGATAGGTACCCAGCCTTTTATTGGGCTCGCGCTCGAGAGCGAAATAGACATAAAAACAGAGACCGAACAGAGGCAAGCCTCCAAACCCGCCTGAAAGTCTGGAGCCTAATACGAATTCGCGAAAACGGGTTCCGTCTCCCGCGCGTCGACGATGACGCCCTGTGCCGAAGAGTCGATCGGGTTCTCTAGTAGAGTGATCTTCGATTCTCGAATTTCCATTCAGAGGACTTCGAGAACAAACTCGGCCTCTCGAGCCGATGAGCCCGAATGAGAGAGCGACCTTTGCCCTCGCTCGGAGCGCGGGAAACCCCGTCAGCGATGCAGTTGCTTGATGAGCTCTGACAAACGATGAGCATAATGCGATGCTGATACATCCCGCTAAGTTAGTAACCAGCAGGCAACAGCAGCCGTAGGAGCTGTTATACGAAAATGGTCCTAGGTCTGAATAGACGCTGACAAAACTCCATCGCGTGCCTCAATACAATCATATGGCGTGCGGGGAGACCAACTGCAACCGTTGAGAAGCTTCTACAAAGCAGATGTCGGACCGTGCAGAAATAGAAGTGTCTTTTTGTCTTCCCTCTCTTCACGGCAGGAGAAGCGCTTCCATTGCGTGGATACGCTCGCCTGGAATCCGAGGTGGGCGTTTCGGGAATCATCTTTCCTCGCGGAGCCGAATTAAGCTCAGGCTCCTTACGATCGGGAGACTATCGAAGGCGGAAAATATTCATACGAATGAATTCCTTCTGATCTCGTCGTCCTCCTCGTTCCTTCAGAGCCCTGCATTCCAACATCTCATCGTTTCGATGGCTGCCCCGACATCTGGAGGGGTCTCCATTCGCTCGCAAACATACCGACGTGTAGCAGGATCTTCGATCGCATTCAAACCCTACCTAAGCTCAACCTAAGCCAAAGGTCCGTGGAATGAAATGGTAATTTTTTCGGCGGATCTATACTCACATCTATCCGGGTCGTCGATGTCTGAGGTGTCCTCATGGTCAGATGAGTCTCTCCGAGCTGGAAGTGGGTTGAAATTATATTATTTAAATGAATTGGAATACGCAATATTGACAGGAACGCCTAGAGCTTATATCTCGGTGTCTAAGTCGTTCTAATTGATCACATAGCAAGCTTTCGACGCGTAAAGCAATCGAGTCGAGACCCCGAAACCGTGTATGTCGTTCAATCCCCTCCCACCGGTCTTCAAACAGGCAGTTGGTTGAGCTTCAGACATGACAAGCTATATTTATCGTAATAGTTAGTCGACATCCAGGCCTGCGAGGAATGGAGGGACAGACGTTTCCGAACGAGAAGGGATTGAATCAGATGGCCATGTGAGCAATAACTATATGTATAATGAAGCGAAACTAAACAAAAGTCCATTAGATCAACAATCCGACGACACCTTGACTCGGAGTCGGATCTGTGAGACTAGTACACGTCATGCATAGATCGCGGAGCGTTCATAATTCAAAACGTCTAAGCGACAGTTGGAATCGCAGCCTCAGCCGGCTTGTAGTGGGCGCTGCGAGGTCGAAAGGTGTGCCGGGGACCGGGAAGGCGGACGAACCTTACGAAAAAAAACATCGAGGGGAGCCCACCCCAGGGATTTCCTCACTTAGCGTCGCAAGCAAGCGGTAGAAACGGTGTCCCAACGCACATCGAATAAGACACAAGAGACTGCCCCGTCGTCGGTCGAAACAAGCCGAATCACAGGTCTACAGAGTTGTCGACACCTACATGGTGGAGCTTCTCACAAATAATAGCGTGAGGGAAGAAGGACAGTCCAGTTGTCATCCGCCGAGCACCGTCAGTCTGAGCTAAGACTCGGGACAGGGAATTAACGGACGAAGAATATGAGAGGAAGAAAAATCTACGACCTGACCGATTGTGGGCTATTCTGATCTCGAATCCTCCGGAATCGTCTTTCGGGAAGGCTCGGTAAACCTCTCTTTTAGGAGGAAAACAACTCGATATCTCTGTGGAGCTCGTCCGTTAAATAGCAGTCACCCACCGAGTGACGCTGCAAAATAAAATCGCTCCCCTTCAGGTGCTCCAGACTACATACTAATGCTCCGATCGCTTGGTGTTCAACGTTGGTTGACTCTTAAATTCGCTTTTTGCTGTCGCTCCAGTCAGCTTCTCGCTAGCCCGGTCGCTCGTTCGTTCGCTCACTTGCTCGTCCATATAAATCCCTCCCGAAAAGGCTTTTTTCTATGGGGTGTCATGACGCCATTAGAGGAGAATATCCCGTCGGGAAATTTCGATAGCGCTACGCGGCTCATGTCACGGGGATCGTTTGACATCAACTGTCTCCAACGACGAGTACACTCAACCGATAGTACGTGACGTGAGGACGTCCGCTACTGACGTCGCTAACATTCAGTCCCTTTCGATCGGAGAGGCCTCGGGAGCGTTGCACAGAACGCGTCGCACGACCGAGAGTGCAGTTGGGAAAAGCGCGCCAAACATGAATTCAAAATTTGTTTCACTTTGCACGATCCGCTCTCGGTGTGTGGAGATGGATGACTTTCGATGCAATCTCTCTAAACTGGTTACAACTCCCAGCCTTAGATCGAGGTCGACCAACTCGGGCTCACACCGAAAAGCGTCGCTTTTTCAGCCCAACTCCACTGTCGTCGAGAACACCGCTAAGAATCCAAAGCTCAGGACGCGTCTTTTGTTCTTGACACGACTCGAGATATTCGTTTGGGATTCGAGTGTTCTTCTGTTGGAGCTTCCATCAATCGTGATCGTCCCTCTTGGCGGTAAGCGTTCGACAGATTGGCAGTCATATGTGCGAGGTTGGAGGTACATAGAAGGCGTGCGTTTCTCCATTTATTCAGCAAACCTTCGCCCGACAAGGTTTTTGTAACGTGAGTGCATCGTTCACGTGTCCATCATGCTCTGAGCTATGCTCCAGATCCGCCGACTCCGGAAATTCAACCTGCATCTCCCGGGAAGGTTTGAGCATACTGGAGCTGATTCGAAGTCCTAAATCAATCGTCCGCCGGATCTTCTCATGTGAAGCTTGCCCAAGTAGATGACAGAGTCTTTCTTCCGCAGTTTGCGGACAAAGTGAATTTTTGAGCGCTTCATCGGCGCACTCGTTGATGAGGAGGTTTGCCCCGAACAAACAGCGGCGACCGCAGCGAAATTAGACCTTTCACTCCACGCAACGTATACTTAGGCTTGATTGATTGACCACGAAAGATGCATCCGAATTAATGGATTTTCATGATATATCGGCGGAAAGCTCGAGGGGAGAGCTGGGGACGGATTTTTCCCCAAGTAATCCTTTATTATCCAGAGGAACGGTTTCGATGGAAAACCTCGAAGGTGAGGTTGGTAGATCGGAAGGTGACTCGAAGCGTCCCGAAGTTGGTCCTCCTAAGCGTTGATGGTCTACTGCGGGTGCTAGGGATGTCGTTGACTGTCGCGTCGGCAACAGCAGCTGTGTGAAACCGAGCGCCCGCATTAGGCCGTCATCATTACGGTTGGGAGCCTGAACAGCCCCGTTCATGGACAGATCCCTAGGTTGTTGTGTGTTGGTGCTTCTGCCGCCGCCGTCGCTATCACAATCATCACTATATCATCTCAAAAGTCGTCACTGCCAACTTCCTCCTCCGGCAGAAAGTCTGTCGCTCGGCTTTCTTCCGGCGAGAACGCGCGTCTTCGATGTCAAAACGGGAAGTGTATGTATCATCCCGTGGAATTAGGAGTTCTCCTTCCCCTTGTCTTCGCCGTCAACTCCGAGCATTGCATTCATTCGGATCCCCACCCTATCGCCGAGAAAGAACAGAGAAATTATGATGGACCGTCCGGGTCTTCTTGGAATGGAATTCGTCGATATCCGAAAGAGGTCACACGTGTGAGTAAAACGATCGGACGGAGGAAAATCTCTGTTCGGTCGGAGCCCTGCATTCAAACATCTCATCGTTTCGTTTGTTCGGCTGTCAGTCCTGTGCGTCAGACAGTTGCCGACTGACGACGGTTCGAGCAATTATTTGACACCGCGAAGTGTGAACTATCAAACTGCGCTCGGCAGGCAGGCCAGTCGGCTCGGCGGCCGACCGGTCCTCCGAAGGGACAGCAGTAGACATTTTCAGTTTACGCACCACTGACACACCTATTGGATAATAGCGATGGATATACACTCTCAACTCGACTACCTACGATGACAACGATACGGCGATAATGGAGCTTCACGAGCCACTTAGTGACAACAAGCAGACCTGGGAGCCGAGGGACGTCACGAAGAAAAAACGACGATTCGTCAAACAGATGGAATCATCGGGTTGCTCTGCGGAACGAGTCGGTATAAGTTTCACTTTGGGCCGCCAATGACCATATGTTGAGCGGAATAATATTTTTTCTGGATGTTGCAGTCTCCGCGGAGCTCGCAACGATTTCCGCGTCGTCGGTGAGTTCACGGAGACCTTCCAAGTGTTTGCGCTAACTGAAACGATGAGCCACTCGGATTGGTGCTGATCGTGGACGTAACGCGTGACGGCGTTCCGATCCCACTCGCGGGATAATCATTGACGCATGTTTCATTCCGATTCGCAGTTACCGATTGCATGGATGACGCGCAGATGTGAACCGATACTTGGCAAGCCTCTTCGACAAAGCGCGAGATCGAGGCGCCCGCGAACTCGCTCGCTAATCAAGCGGATGTTAAGACTCAGTCCGGGTGCTTTATTGAATACACGTACACTTATCTGGCTTAGTATTCCGAGCTGTTTCCCGCAGCAGCCCCTGCTACGGATGATGGAAACGCGGCCTACTTATCGGGAAATTGATTTCGATTTCCGCCTCATTCGGTCGGCAGTGCCGTGTCGCTGCGATGTTCGGGGGCAGCTGATTCTGCCACGCAAAGCTCGGGTCCTGTATCCGTTTCATTCCATTAGCAGGTTTCGAGCTAATAATTCGCGAATCGGAAACGAATGTCCGCTTCAACGACCATTAGTGACCGACTTGTATAAGTGATATACATACACGCTCGATTGATATCCGCACTCCCTAGTAGAATACTTCGGGTAGCCTTGTCTCCGACTTATGGCTCATACGGCAATACGATCCCCTCCGAAAAGGAAGTCTCCCGGAAGTCTCCACGTGTATACTTTCGATATGGCACGCGAAGTACTGACGGGCATTTCGCCGAAATTCAAGTTCCCCAGTCTTTTTACAGACAAACGAAAATTGAGGAGTTGGACTCATCTCGGACTTGGACGAACACAGCTCGAGCCCAATGGAATTTTCAGAATAAGACTGAATGAGCCTTCCGGGTACATCATTCATAGAGGACGAAGCAACGGATTCGTGAGTGTTGACCCGTTGTGCTACCACGCCGTGTTTTGGGAACGGAATAGGAAAACTTCCGGCAGAACCTCCCGTCCCCCCTCGATGGATGATGACCACTCATTTCACTCATGGACGGTAGAAACCTTCCAGGTCAGGAGCGGGAACCAATCACCATCCGGATTGCTCTGGGGTAATATGCACCACACGAGCCTCATTACGATTCATCGAGCTTTGGGAAATTGGGAAATCAGAGGCCGGCTGTTGGTTCTAAGAGCGCCAGCGAGTTCAGCCGGCTCTCCGCGAGACCGCGAGCATCGAGTCCTGGGAAAGGTCTGCCCGGATCTTGAAATGCTCGAAGCAGATCAAAAGTCTCGAGAATCGTAAAAATCATCCATAGGTGCGGGGCCTATTTGAAGGCTCCGACATACAGCGATTCGAATGAAGATCCGTATTTTTTTCCGAATCGTCCTGGAGTCAATCCGATTCCAGCTCTGTGACGAGCTCCAATCGAGACTCTCGGCTGGGATTTCAGAAAATCGCGGAAATCCTCCACTTGATCGGATCGCTCTCGGAGAGTCTCGATCAGTGGTTTCCGTTGGTTTGAGCCCCGGTCAATCGGATCCTCCGCCTATTCGGATCGAAATTGCCTGGTCCCGATGTGTTCCTATCAAGCGCAGCTCACTGTATTCGGGAGCAATCTCTCGTAAAGCTACAGAAAGCTTCACGACAAGCCGCGGTTCCCGCAACGATGTCGAGTTCCTCATCGGAACTCCCACCGCCGGAATCAATCCCTCCGCGAATATTCTTGAGCTATGATCCAGAATCCAGACCGGAAGCTCCTTCCGGAGGTCGCCGGAAAGGAGAAGCAAATGCTTATCGAAAAACATACCTTTACTATTGTACAGGAGGCCTTCGATTGAGTAGGGACTCGCGTGATGAGAATGGTTATTGTTCAAACTGTTGCTGTTTATAAGGTTGTTGTTACTGCTGCTGTTGTTGTTGTTGTTGTTCCCGTTATTGCTATTGTGGTTGCCCGTATGTTGAACACTATTTGCTGGGGATCCAAGCGCCGTCGCCGAATTCTGCAGCTCGGTTTGCTGCGCGACCGCTAACGAGGTGAGGTTGGAGAGCGACGCAGCATTTGCAGCGGCTGCGTTTTGCAATGCCTGCTGAAGTGCAGCGACGTACGATAGAGCGGGCACTGGAACACTGCTGTATGGAGGCATGGGTGCCCCAAATGCAGCGTAGGGTGACATTGGAACACGAGGCTCACTTCCCGGACCCAGCTTGCCTGCGGGATGTAGCACCTAGTTCCACTGAGAACGCGATCTTGTTCACTTGTATGTTCTTGTCAAACACTTTCCTCGACTCTCCCGACGACGACGACCGACGTGCAGAAGGGTGCCGCCACTCGTTGCCGCCCGCAACGCGTTTCTATAGGAACTTTGGCTGGGATCCTCTCGAACTTCTAGATGTTTGTGTTGCTTCCTCCTCTTCTTCACCGCGAAGAAGTTCCCCACAGAACCATCGGGGGAGCAGTCGGCTGGACGAAAGCGTGCACCATCGAGCCGAACCACAATCGGCCAACACTTGAACACAATCAGACACAAATCTCAGATGACACGACACTCCGATGAAACAACAACTTCGTCTACTCGACCAGTGCTCGCTGCGCTTCTGGCCCTGATCGTGCCCGTGCGGTGGAGACCATTCGCGTTGACCACACAATTCAGATTGTTTCTCTAGTTCTGTGCTGGCGTCGAATTGCTGTATTGAATCGCAGTTGGTTGGACGAACGAGGCGGAGTCTGGGGCGGGTTCGGGCGGACTCTGGGAGAGAGCTCCGCTATGGCTCGTCGGAGAGGGTCGACTGTCGGCGGCTAAGCAGCTTTGCCTTGCTCCTCGCTGCTATCTCCTGCTTGCTCCCTTGCTTGCTTTGTCGCTCGCTCGCTCGCTCTCAGAGGAGCTTCCTCTAATTATTATCACTACCAACCAACCGCCGCCGGCGCGGCAGCGGCCCCCAATGCCGCCCGTAAAGCTGGCGTTAGATAAGCGCCGCTGCACGAGCCTCAGCTCGTTTGCTACGTCATCGTGTACGCCAATGAGATGCCGGATTCGTACGGACGATGTACGTAGCTCTCATACATATTTCCTCGAGCGAGCCCGGGAGGCTCGATAATTCGGGTCCCGGGTCGTCTCCCGTAGATGCTGTCGATCCCGGGCCCAGCTTCCCAGAGATCTGGGCTCATACCCCATCTTCCACATGGAAAACACATATACGTATTTGATATACGGGAAACTCATCAGGATGGTTTCGGTGGCGAGGACAAATATTATCTCGAAGAGGAAGTTGCAAATTGAGAACAGAGACTTGTTGAACTATTCGTTAAGATCAGCGCTGCTGAGATCACCATCATTGATGGAAGCGCTCGCGCGCGGTCGACGGAGACTCCGGCCAATGGAAACTTTGGCGAAAAGGGCAAAAATGAAAATTGACGGCTAAACCCATCGCTGCGGGGCAGATGTGAAGCACGAGCACAGAACCGAAGGGAACAGCGAAGTTTGGTTAACGGGAAGCGCGGGACGGGAGAGAAAAACTCGAACCCGACTCGACTGTCGTTCCCGCCGCCGTCGTCGTCGTCATCCAGTGTGGAGACTTCAGCCGAGTGAAGGGAATAGATGGAGAGATTTTCGAGGAAGCCTTCCCGGAGGACCGCCCGAATTTCGAACAGACAACTCGAATCAGGTAGGCTCGTCAGCTGGAGCAAAGCGAGCGTTGTCAAGAGGCAAGCCTTCCGAGGAGCGAAGGAACTCATTCGAGAACGACAGCGAAAATGGGCAGATGGGAGATCAGAAAAGTCAATTTCCCTCCTGCAAACGGAGAGAAGCCAACTCCGCCACTGCGAGAAAGGAAGCAGAATCAATTCACCGTATAATAAAATGGGGCACGTGTGGGCTAACAAATGTGTTGCGCGTATCGGGGAAATATGGATCCGAGCGAGCATATGTGTATCGAAGTGGGCACGAGGACTCGACGTCCCGGTTAATCTCGAAGATTGGTTCCGGGGATCAATCTTCCACGCGAAGAAGCACTCGGACCGACCCAGAGAGAGAGAGCACGGCGCTCTCGGAGCGCAAAAAAGACGTCGCGTGCATCATCGCCTTCGCTTAATCTTACAATTATTACTCCGATGCCATCCGTCGGTCGTCGTAGCGCTGGTTCGAACGAGATCCCCGGTACTTCAGGCTTCCCCGCGTAGAGCGGTGACGACATCGAAGGCCCGAATAATCAAAACGCGATTCAGGATCTCCACCGGCCCGATCCCGACGGTTGGGTTGGGGTCGGGATTCGAGGGAGCGAGATTCTCGAAGCCCATCTCTCGCGCGTCTACCCTCGAGACCAGATCAAAGAACCCCAAAAGGTTGATCAGGATAAGTTGTCAAATCACCGCGCGCTTCCTCGAGCCGCTCACTTGCGTTAAGGCCCGACCGCCGCCGCTAGACAGGAGACATTGATCTAACCGAGCGAAGCAGCGAGCGAGGAAAGTAGGATCTGCCTCCACAGAGATCCCTCGTCTACATCGCCGACTTAACAAGTTTGCTCCGTAGACATCGAAGTCGGCAAATCCTCCCCTTCTGATTATTTCCCGCAATCTTGACCGTGGCGCAATCGTCGTCCTTCCACGGGGAACTGTCCCTCCTCCCTAGCCGCGACGTACGCTCGGTCAGGTAATCAGTCTGAAGGCTGGGACTGGTTGAGGAACGCCCGAGCGGAGGGCTCGAAAGCGCACGAGTCCACCAGCCAGATCACAATTCGATCCGATCGGACGCAATCAAATTATTATACGGCGAATGAAATTGTAATCGAATAACGATACATCAACTGAAATCTAAAGTCTGCTTCGCGTCCGTCGCGGGGACCGAACGCGGCGGCAGTCGCTCAGGGAACGAACACACCCAGCACATTAAAACTCTATACGAGCGAACATCCTTTCGACGACTATCCTTTCGAGCAGACGCTCACGTAGAGACGGGAATCTGCCGGCGATCAGATGAACGAAGCGTCGAAAAGGAGCCACCGATGGACGATACGAGTGAGAATGCTCGATGGAGACTGAACTCCTCTGACCGAGAACCGAAATCGTAGAAACAGGGTCCTGGATTCGAAGAGCTACAACGGGAATGAATATGAAACTGTTCTGCGTCGGCCGCCTCAATGGGGCCGGAATCAGTAAACGCTCACTGTACGCGGGGAAATTCGATGCTGCTGATCACTGTTTGCTTTCTATTGACGAGGAAGAAATTGCGATATGGGTGTTGGGATGAAGCTACTCTGCCGTCTTGACTCGCTCGCCGAATCGCCTGCCCATCGCCCGCCTGCTCGTCTCGATGGCTGTTTGAATGTTGGCGAGCTTCACCGTGCGGGCGCTTAGGGCTTGGCCTCTCTTCATAAATATAAGCGAGCGAATGGACGATAATGACCGTCGTAAAACGTTCGAAATTAGCTGAGAGCTACTCTGTCTGGAAACAGTCGATAGATTTTTCAGCGATCACATTATTTGTTCTGCCAGCTAGTGAATTCAGATTGATAGATACCAGCGATGGATAGCGGCTTGATTCATGGCGGCAGGAGGAATCCGATGGATATGCGCGGCTAGTAGACCCTCGCGTACCGTGAACAACACACGCAGATATTTTCTTTCCCTCTCTCTGACTGAAAATAATGAATTGAGGGATGCTCCGTCAATTCATCATGAATAGGACGATACTTTGTCGATTTAAGAGTTCGCCTTGATTGATCGATCGATAGAGCAACAAATCGATAGATGGATGGATGGAACACCGTGGTATCGGTCTTCATCGAACCACTTTTGTTGGGATATTCGCAGCGAACAATTTACCCTCGCTGAATCAAGCGTGTTCGGGCCGCGCGCTTTTTCTTCACAAGAATTCGCGCGGTCCTGCAGAACGCGGTTTGAAGAATTATACGGTCGTCGGTGGGAGCGACGTTGTATTGACTGTTACCATCGTTGGTCGACCGCAGAATGGAACGACCGAAAGAAGATGAATCATATTTCGGAGTTTCGCGAGCTGGTCTGGAATGATTTTTCGAAACGTCAAATCCAGATGTAACAGGGTCACGCCGACGGTGCTCCAATCGACCGAGTGACCGCTTCGTGTTTTCTGGTGGATAGTTTATGATGAGCGTTCGCCTTCCCAGGCCATTTCTCCATTAAAATGATCATCAATTCAATTATGAAAAAAAAATGAAAAGAATTCCAAGACGGCTCGGATGAGTATCGACCCCGACGCGGTCACTATCCTCATCTCATCCCTGACTTCCCAGGTCCCGATTACACGAACCAACTCCAAAAGGTTATATTCCGCTCACCTTACTCGACCGCCTCCTCTGAGAATATGATTTATTTGTCTTATATTGAGAACGTCCGCGAATGTTCGTTTGTTCGTCAATGTTCTCTGGTGGCTCGTGTGTGCTATTCTATTTAATGAACCACGGCTCGAAGCGAACGATAGTGCAACGCACAGCTTTTGTCGATATCTGTAATTTCCGTTGATTATATTCTACGATAATTCAGCTAACATCGGCATCTTGTTGAGCGGTTATTGATGCTCGACGATGGTTCTGCCGAGCGACGCGCTTTAGCGGCCCAGAGCTTCGTGGCCGAGCCATATCATTCCATGCGAATCAATATAGGCGATCGGGTTTCTCGTGAGCGACTTGCTCCCATGGATGAGTCCACTTGAATGGCCTTCACTCGAAGGGGACGGAAATTCAGTGGACGGATCACAGATCCTGGTGTTCGGAAACCGATAGGGCTCCTGACATCGCCTCGGCCCTCGAGCTCGAATCGTCGGTCTCGGAGCCGACTACGTGAATGTGTCCGATATCCGTTTCGGAAAGCGTTACAATCGACTACCGGGCGGGAACGTCTGTTCGCTACGTCGAGAAGTTAATCAGTGGGTCAGAGGGAGCTAATAAGTGAGACAAGGAGATAGAGACATCCCACGGGCTAAGTCCGCACTATCCTGAAATCTCTTTATTCTGAACTCGGCTCGTTTGCTGAATGTTAAGTGGGTAGCTTTTAATTGCGAAGTAATTTTATCCACGACGGGGGCGACCACCCATCCGACTGTAGCGGCACTGAGCCCACCAGACGGAGGGAAGCTCAGATTGAGAGCGTTCGGCCGTCTCGAAGCAAGAGATCACCCGAGAAAGTCAGATTCACTGGGCGAGG